GGAGCGGGCTGGGGGGTGATGGGGCAGTGGGGCTGTGACGGGAGCGGAGTGGGGCAACAGGGGTAGGACGGGGGGTCAGAGGGATGCGATGGGAGCAGGAGGGTGCTGGGGGACATGATGAGGGCCCTGGGGATGATGCGAGTGGCGTGGGGCAGGAGGGCAGGCTCTCTGGGGCAGGCCCAGGACATAGGGCCGGCATGGGCTGCCTCTCATCTCCCCACCACCACCCCCAGGCCTACGAGCGCTCGGAGAGCCTGGAAGTCGCCTTCGTGACCCAGCTGGTGAAGAAGCTGCTGATCATCATCTCCCGCCCGGCGCGGCTCCTGGAGTGCCTGGTGAGGGCGGGCGGGAGCACGGGGCGGGCAGCTGCCCCCCACTCTGCTGCGCCCCACGCTAGGGGCTGGGGCTCTCCTCTGGGACACCCAGATCCCAGCCCTGCTGCCCGTCAGAGCGACGTGCTGCTAGCATCCCTGCTCTAACCCTAAACCCTATGCCAAGCCCCAGCTCTAACCACTAGCCCCCGCTCCCCTCCCAGAGCCGGGAGAAAACCCAGGAGTTCTGGCTCCCAGCCCCCTGCTCTGCCCACTAACCCCTGCTCCCCTCCCAGAGCTGGGATAGAACCCAGGAGTCCTGGCTTCCAGCCCCCTGCTCTAAACACCTAGACCCCCAGCTCGTCCCCCAGAGCCAGGGGGAGAACCCAGGAATCCTGGTTCCTAGCCCCACTCCTGCTCTACCCACCTCTCTGACTCCATTCTGTGCCTGTCCCCATCCCCCCTGTGCCAGCCCCCCAGCTCCCCCACTCACACCCCCAGCCTGCCCCTACCTCTCTATGTTCCCCCCATAGCCATCCCCAAACCTGGCAGCTTGGATCACCCATGCCAGCCAATCGGATGGCACCCAGCCAGTCGCCCTGACAACAGCTGTGCTGGCCAGTGATTGGGCTGCTGCCTTGGCCCAATGGCGAGCAAGCTGGCAGCAGGGGGCGGTGTGGCATTGGCCAAGGCAGGTTGCTGATGCGGCCTGTTGCTGTGGCAACAGCCATCGCTGCCCAGTTGCTAGAGGGCCGTCATGGCAACAGAGACAGGCAGAGGCATCCTCCAGCTGGGATGTAGGTAGCCCCCTCTGCCCTGCACCCCGAGAGCCTCAGCCGTCTAACTAGCCAATCAGTGTGTGACCCCCGCTTCGCCCAGGGACGTGGGGCGGGGAGACCCAGGGGGAGGGTCTGGCAGCTTCTGAGACGGAGACAAAGGACACAGCTCTGTGTGTGTGTGTGTGTGTGTGTGTGTGTGTGAGTGAGAGAGAGAAAGAGTCCCCTTACAAGCACCCAAAATACATCCACGAACAAAGACACCTGAAACACAACCCCCCCCCCCAACATCCAACACACACAAGAAGAGCTCTGTGTAGCTCGAAAGCTTGTCTCTTTCACCAGGAGAAGTTGGTCCAATAAAGGATATTTCCTCACCCACTTTGTCATGGTACACACCCCAACACACACACACACCTGAAACACAAATACACCCCCACACACTTGACACCCACTCCCACACACCTGAAACAGACACACACACCAACACACGTCCAAATCCCTGAAACACAAATACACCCTCCCACACACACCTGAAACAGACACACACAAATACCTGAAACGGACATAGAGACACACCAACACACACACACTCTCAACACAGATGTGCACAAATACCTGCAAGGCCTGATCTGACACACACCCCACACCTCTGAAACACACAAAGGCACAAACACCTGATACACACACGCATAGAAATGCCTGATGCACACTCACTTACACACACGCCCCTGATACGCCCATACAGACTGATGCAAACAAGGGCACCACACCCGCTGTGCCCCCTGCTGGCAGTCCCTGGTATGCCAGCAGGAACCAGTGCCCCGCTCCCACCCTGCTCACTGACCTAGTAACCGCCCGCCCTGCGTGCAGATCTGTAGTTGGGGCACCCCCCCCCAGTGCCTGCTCTCGGACACAAGAGGAGCCCTGGGGTGTCTCCCCAGCCCGCAGGGTCTCTATATGGGGGTGTCCCTCCCCCGCCTGCCCGTTAGTGATGGGGCTGGGTGGCCGTGCCGGCGTCTTGCAGGAGTTTAACCCCGAGGAGTTTTACCACCTGCTGGAGGCGGCTGAGGATCACGCCAAGGAGGGACACCTGATGAAGACGGACATTCCCCGCTACATCATCAGCCAGCTGGGCCTCACCCGCGACCCCTTCACAGGTAACCCCGGCAGGGGAGAGGGGCACGGGGATCGGTGCCCTCTGTGGCCAGGCCTGTGCTGGCGAGCATGGGTGGCTGTGACTGCATGCGTGTTGGCATTGCACAACTGTGTGTGATGGCATGTGGGTGTTTGCGTGCATCTTAGCATGCACGTGTGCGTAATTGCAGGTGAGTGTGTGACTGTGTGTGTTAGCATTCATGTGTGTGTTATTGCATGTGTGTGTGTGTTGTTGCACATTGGGGTGTGACTGCACGTGTAAGATTGCACATGGCTGCGTGGCTGCATGTGTGTTAGCAGGCACATGTGTGTGTAATTGCACATTGGTGTGTGATTGTGTGTTATCATTTGTGTGTTAGCATACACATGTGTGTGTGTGTGTGATTGCATGTGGGTGTGTGACTCTGTGCATTAGCAGGCATGTGTCTGTGCTTGCATTTCTATGACTACATGTGTGTTAGCATTCACATGGGTGTCTGAAGACATGCATGTATTTGCAACTCTGTGCATATGTCTATATGCGTATGTGTGACTGCATATGTGTATGTATGACTGCATGTGTGTTTGCAGCCGTGTGTGTGTGCCTGTATGACTGCATGCGTGTATCTGTGTGTGGGCCTACACGTGACTACATTCATGTTAGCATGCACACGTGTGTACGCGCCTGCCTTATCTGGGACCGCCTTGTCTATCCCTGTGCGTGTGTCCGTGTGTGTGTGTGTGCGTCCGTGTGTGTGTGTGTGCGTCCGTGTGTGTGTGTGTGGCTGCCCGCGTTGCCCTTCCTTCGTTACCTGGGGGCTCCCGTGACCCCTCTCCTCAGTCCATGTTTCCCCCCAGACATGGTGCATCTGGAGGAACACGACAGCGGTGGATCCAACACGCCCGAGACAGACGAGTTCATGGAGGTAAGTCCCCGCCCCCAGGTGTGCAGACAGCACGCGGCCATCAGGGCTCCGAGCCATGCGGGGGAGGGCTGGGGCTGGTGCCCCACAGCTCTGGATCTATACTGATGGGGCCATAATAATGTGGGGGACTCGCCATCCCACTGCCCCCTAGTGGAGGGGATTGGAACAGCCCTTGTGTGTGTCAGAACCGCCCCCGTGCCCTGGCCCGAGGTGCTGTAATGGGCACCATCCCGCTGGGTCCCACTGGGTGGCAGTATGGCACAGGGCATTTGCCCACCCAGAGATACGAACGCACAACAGAGGCAACACAACCGCACTCCCACACAGCCACACAACGCCCAGACACCCGCACGCTCCCGTACAGGTTTACAGAGAAACACACACAGATTGGTGTGCAACACAATCACACACACCTAGAGGGACACAACCCCAGAAACAACACACACAACTCACCCAAGAGGCACCCACACACCTCCCTGTCACACCCCCTCCGAGAACCAACCCTCAAAACAACACAGTCCACCCCAGACACACACAGTCCAGCATGCAGCACAGTCACACAAGCCTAGAGGGACACAACCCCAGAATCAACCCACACAACCTGTGAGACACACACACTCACCACCATCACACAGCTCCAGAGAAACGACCCCCAAAACAACACCCCTGCTGAGACACACAACTCCAGAAACACTCCCCATGGACACACATACCACAGCCCCAGAAACAAACAACATGCAAACGCTGCCGACGGTCACACATCCCAGAAGGACACAGCCTGAGAAACAACATCCTCCCATGCAGAGACACACACTTTCCGCAGACACACACAACCCCAGGAACAATACAACACACCCCAGACACACACAAACACACTCACGCTCCCTGCGGAGCCACCTCCCTCACAGACACACAACATCTGAAACACTACACTCCCCACAGAGCCATCCCCCACCCCACAATCACACACCCCTACAGGGACACAACTTGGAAATAACACACACACACAGATACACAACCCCAGAAGCAACACACACACACACTGGACACAGACACGCACACACAGATACACAGACCCAGAAACAACACACCCCATAGACCCACTCCACCAGGGACTCCCAGCCCCACAGCTACACGCACAAAAGCAACTCCTAGCCCCCTGCGCCCGGGCGCTGGGCCGAGGCTGCCCCACCTGGCTTTAGCCCAGCATGGGAACACCAGGCACCCGGTGCTCTAGGAGGAAGTGGGGTCTAGTGATTAGAGCAGGGGGCTGGGAGCTGGTGGGGCCCGAGGGCTGACATGGGGGCTGGATCTGGGGGGTGGGGGCTCCCTCTTTCCCACCCCTACCCTCAGTGATGCGTGTGATTTATTCCAGGGTCGGGGAGCTGCCCTGAAACACAAGAAACCGCCCGGAGAAGGGGACTTTGAAACCATCAAACTTATTAGCAATGGAGCCTATGGGTGAGAGAGTGTTGGGGGAGGGGTTGAACCCTGACCCGGGGCCGTGGTCTGCACCCCTTGGGGGTCAGGGGGAGGCAGGAGAGATTTGGCTCCTCCCCTCACAGCCCCACTGCTCTGTGGAAGGGATCAGCACCCCCAAACCCGCCCCCAGGCTCACAGAGAATTTGAGGGGGGAAGGGAGAACCCTGGACTCCTGGGTTCTGTCCCAGCTCCGAGGCAGCAGTGAGGTTGAGCGGTTAGAGTGGGGGAGGACTGGGTATCAGTCCGGGTTCTCGCGCCAGCCCTGGGAGGGGAGCGGTTAGAGTTGCGGGGTTGGCTCCAGGACTCCTGGGTTCTCACGCTAGCTCTGGGAGCGGAGCAGTTAGAGTTGGGGATTGGGGGGTTGGCTCCAGGACTCCTGGGTTCTCGCGCCAGCCGTGGGAGGGGAGCGGTTAGAGTTGCGGGGTTGGCTCCAGGACTCCTGGGTTCTCACGCTAGCTCTGGGAGCGGAGCAGTTAGAGTTGGGGATTGGGGGGTTGGCTCCAGGACTCCTGGGTCCTCACCTGGCCCCAGTGGCTGGGCTGGGGCCAGAGCCGAGCCTGTGCTGGGTTTCAGGGCCGTGTACTTGGTGCGGCACAAGGAGACCCGGCAGCGCTTTGCCATGAAGAGGATCAACAAGCAGAACCTGATCCTGCGGAACCAGATCCAGCAGGCGTTCGTGGAGCGGGACATCCTCACCTTCGCCGAGAACCCCTTCGTCGTCAGCATGTTCTGCTCCTTCGAGACCAAGCGCCACCTCTGCATGGTCATGGAGTATGTGGAAGGTACGGCGGGCATGCCTGGGGCTGGGGAGGGCAGGGGGGCACACCTGGGGCTGGAGGGAATGGGGGGCATGCCTGGGGCTGGAGGAGCCACCTCCGGAGCTAAGGGGTCAGGAGGGCATGCCTGGGGTGGGAGGGGGGCACTTCTGGAGCTGGGGGGGGCAGGGCGGGCACGCCCAGGGGTGGGGGGCCACAGCCCGGCCCACCTTGGGAGGGGACACCAACAGCAGCCCTGAAACTGGCTCCGCTGCCCATGCAGCACTGTCGCACTATGGTGCGGCTGGCTAGCGTGTGTCATGTCACAACGTGGTGGCGTTGTGTTGTGATGTGGTGGGGCTGCCTAGCAGTGTGTTGTATCACAACATGGTGTTGTCGCGACGTGGCGGAGCAGTGTGTTGTATCACAACATGGTGTTGTCGCGACGTGGCGGAGCAGTGTGTTGTGTCACAACATGGTGGCGTTGTGTTGTGATGTGGTGGGGCTGCCTAGCAGTGTGTTGTGATGTGATGGTGTAGCGTGTTGTGTCACAACATGGTGGTGTCGCGACATGGTGGAGCTGCCTAGCAGTGTCGTGTCACCACACAGTGGCGTTGTGTCGTGACGTGCCCCCGCTGCACAGCGATGTGACACCTCCCAGCATGGTGGTGTCATCCTGTGACCTGCCCTCTCTGCGCAGTGGTGTGGCCATGCCATGGTGGCGGTGTGTCATGCCAGGCTGGCTCTGCAGGGTGGCACGGCGTGAGGTGCTGACTGCGCAGCGGGGCGATGCCATGTCATGGCGGCACTGTGCTGTGCTGACACGGAATTGACAGGTGGGGATGGTGGGTCATGCGTGGGGGATGGGTGTTGGGACGGGTTGACATTGGGTCATGACGGAGCAGGGTCAGCGTGGCCTCTCGACTGGGTGGAGTTGTATTGCAACGAGGGGACGTGATGGGGAGATGTTGCATCATGACAGGGATCGGGC